GAGGATTCAATTTGTGGCAGGAACTGTGCTAAACTCTTTATTTTTTGTTTCTTAAGACTCAATAATACTCCTACAAGACGTGCACTGTCATGCCCATTTTTTAGGTTAGGAAACTTAGATTCAACAAGATGAAGTTACTTGCATAAGGTCACATCTTTAGAAACGATCAAAGTCAGGATTCAAATGCAAGCAAAGTCTAGAACCCGAGCCCTCCCAGATGACGCTCTAATACTGCTTTACAGGAGCTTCACCCACCCACATCCCCGGGGCCATGTTTATAACTTATCTCTTGGACAGCTGATTGCACCAGTGGTGGGCCCAGTGCTGAAGGAGTGGCCATTCATAGTCTAAGCAAGAATTCATTCAGTATAAAATATATGAGCTGGTCTAAGAACTGAATGTTCTCTCAAAAACTATAAATTGGGGAACATGTATCAAGAGAACAACTCAGTATCAGAGAGGATGTCGAAAGGTAGAACTGAGCTAGATCACAGAGCCCACCCAACAGCCTGCACCAGGGTGAGGTGTACAGACCTCAGTGCTGAATTTCTGAGGAGGGGGACGGTCCAGTCTCTACAGGCGGTGAGGCCCAGCCCCACGTGCCCCTGCCCTCTGATATCCAAGAATTACTTTGTTTCTTCACATGCATCTTTATAATAGAGCTCTTTGTTTAGGTTACATGTGTGGGCTCTGTCTCATGGAACCAAAATAAAAATTAAAACAAATACCATAATCAATATCCCTAAATCACCCACTGGACAGACGCTACTGACCTCATTTTTTTTCTTCAAACAAAACCAGTAGAATGTTGTTTAGAGATAATAAGTTCTTTGCCCCAGGCCACAAAGACAGTGAATGGTGAACCCATGGCCTTCAACTTGGGTGTGTCACACACTTTTATTTTTTGACTGCCACGGGAAAATACAGGGGCATCTCAAGCCATGCATTGTCATAATTACAGTTTCCAGTATTCACTACGATAATTTGATTTTCACCTGGAAATTTGTGAGAGGTGGCAATGACT